GGTCCCAGTACATGTTCTTGATAATCCTTAAATCCTTCCCGTCAAAATTGAGGACTTCCACCATGTCGATGATCTTGTCGTGCCTAACTTTGTCCAATGCCTTGGTGTAGTCTGTAAAAAATAAATGAAGATCTTTCTGAACTTCTAGGGCACGTTCTATTGTTCTGATGACATATATGGCACTTCTACCTTAATCTGACCTTTTAAAGAAACGTCTGTGAGTGTGATGTTCGATATTATATTATGCTAACGACGCGTGTACATCAACGAGTCTCACTTTTAGACTCTGTTACACGTAGGCGATGTATTTTTACGCTCTTTCCAGCACAGCAAAATTATTCAAGAAACTCGTCCCCCAATATAGCATCTGTCTCTGACAGGACCAGGCCGATAAGTTTTAGACCAGTATCAGTTCTTTGGCAACCTGTGAAGTTCAACAATTCCCCGATATGTTCTCGTATCACGTTCTCCTGTACTGACACCCAGCCTTATTATAGTATTATACCAACTGAGCTATTGTCGCTCTTCTTTTACATTGTCTACACTGCATCAAATTAGGCTGTACAGCCCCAGAACGGGTGGGAAGCTGGCGGGTGCCACTGGTTTGCCGTACATACTTCTTTTCTTTCCTTTTATTGCTTGTCTGTCTCACTTTTTTGTGTCCACTGCTCCTCTTTATTCAAACAAACTAACCAACAAAATTAAATCCTATAACAGTTCACGTAGAGTCGTACTCGAAATTAATTAATCTTTGAGATACCTCGTCCCGTATTTCCTGCCTGTCTGTAGTCGAGTCTATAGGTGGATGACACATTCTGACCATTGCCGTATTTTGTTTGGTAAAATTTTTAAACTGTGCGTGCAGCTGCATAGATCATATGAAAATGATTCCCGAGGGAAAATAAAATGAAAAGGACAGTTCTGTGAAATCAAAATGAAAAGCATAACTCTGGGACAGCAAAAAAGGATTGCTCCGGGAAAACAAAATGAAAAGAGCAAATTGAAAAGGATAGCTCTGGGGTATGCTCTGGGAAAGCAAAAAGAAAAGGATAGATCTCGGAAAGCAAAATGAAAAGGATAGCTCTTTGACAGCAAAATGAAAAGGATAGTTCTGGGGAAGCAAATTGAAAAGGATTGCTCTGTAACTGCAAAATGAAGAGAATAGCTCTGGAAACGTAAAATGAAAAGGATACCCCTGGAAACGCAAAATAAAAAAGATTTGGAACTCTAAGTGGAAAGGATAGCTCTGGGAAAGCAAAATTGAAAGAGCAAAATAAAAAGGATAGCTCTGGGACATGCTCTGGGAAAGCAAAATAAAAAGGATAGCTCTGGGACATGCTCTGGGAAAGCAAAATAAAAAGGATAGCTCTGGGACATGCTCTGGGAAAGCAAAATGAAAAGGATAGCTCTCGGAAAACAAAATGAAAAGTATAGCTCTTTGAAAGCAAAATGAAAGGATAGCTTTGGGAAAGTAAAATGAAAAGGATAGCTTTGGGAAAGTAAAATGAAAAGGATAGCTTTGGGAAAGTAAAATGAAAAGGATAGCTTTGGGAAAGTAAAATGAAAAGGATAGCTTTGCGAAAGTAAAATGAAAAGGATAGCTTTGGGAAAGTAAAATGAAAAGGATAGCTTTGGGAAAGTAAAATGAAAAGGATAGCTTTGGGAAAGTAACATGAAAAGGTCAGCCCAGTGAAAGCAAAATGAAAATGAAAGCTCTGGGAAAGCAAAATGATGGGTTTTTTGTTTTCACGGTAGTTCACAAAAAGGCTATGGTTTACTTTGTAAAGTTGCAATGGTGGAGGGTAAAGATTCCTGATACAAATTCAGCAGTAAAACCAGTCACACATTTTGAAAACAGTTCTGTACTATCTACACATTTTAGTGCAAAAACTTAAGGTAGGCCTATGAGATTTCTGTTGAGATCACGAGTCAACGATGGGGAGCAAATTCTTCAATGTGCATTTGAAATGTTTCCTTCGGGTCTATCCAAAGTATGAACAATTTTTAAAAAAAAAAAGGATTTGCCTGATCGTTTGGTCGGCATCACATTCAACAAAAAGGTTGGGTTTTTTTCACTCCCTTCAGAATGTATCTAAGTGTCAGGCGTGTGTGTCCAATACATAATTTTGTTTTAAAAAACAACAACAAAAACATCCTCTCTTCTTGAGAGACCCGACGGTTTTTATGGATCAAATTTGGGCATGGCTTGGTGGAGTTTGTTTATTTGTTTACTCCTCTGTCCCTCCAACAGACTGGAGAACTGGAAATGTTGCACTTGACCTTATCTTTAGAGTTTGCTTGTGGGAGGGTGTTCTTTGTTTCTCCCACTCCGGAAGCCGGAAGGATAAGGATTTCTTAGTGAGAAGATCGAACTAATCGTCTTCTCGGATGCCTACAAGGCTAGGTAGCCACATAAACGCAATACGCTTTGCCTGGTTAGTCAAAGATTGAATCTTTAACTGTTGTCCACCTATTTCAGGGTTTGAGAGTGTAAAATTGGTGAGTGAAATAAGGCAAGAGAGGGAATCGGACAGAATTTAAAAGATAAAACCCACAATTTTTAAAAGTTTTTTTAAAAACAGAGTCCAGTGCCATGTCAATGGCAATTACCTAAGGATAATAACATAGAGGCACGGACGGTTGGCGGGTGCTCTGGTGTGGTTTGCTCCTTCTTTCCTATCAAACATCTATCGTCCTTATCTCTCCCCCTTTTTTGAGTTTGTTATTCTCTTGTAACACTTCTAATCTTCGGCACTTATATGACCTTATTGTGTTGCAAGTGCCTTAAAATTCTTACTAAAACTATATTAAAATGGAGGCCTCGAGATGAAGCCCCCTTTGCTGAGTGCTGTTTTTTGGAGGCCTGTGGTGCCTACAGTTTAGTCCGATTTAAAGCCATTGTTGAAGAATCGCTCTGTATCAGGATATTAAGGGATGAGTTTTTTAAAGGCCATTGTGAAGGTTTCTATGTCTGCATGATTTTTTAATATTACATTTTTAAAAAAATTTTTGGTTTTGTTTTTGTTTTTGTTTTTGTAAAGTGTTTTACGGCGCTCGCAACTGCATACGGTCATATGAGCGCGCAGGGCATACCTAATATTTTCATTTGGTAGGAAATTTTGAATTTTGCCCGGGTGGCAGCCGAAGCCTACTCTTAATACTCTTATCTTATCGATTTTAGACCACCAAGGGATCTTTAACGTGCGCAACTTGCACACAGGCCCTCCAAGATTTTTCGCCCTTGTCCGAGAAGGCTAGCTGTAGATCTTTCCTACCAGAATATTAGGGGTGTGGCAGAAAGACAGCTGTAAGGAGGAGCCAAGGAGTAGCAGTAGAAAGGCTGCAGAAAGAGTCAGGAGCCCAGAGGAGGGGGCAAAGGAGGTGAGGGGGCGGGGGCAGAAAGTGGAAATGAAAGCAGACAACAGAACATTGCTAGAGAGCAGGAAAGGAGGTGAAAATAGACAATTTTAGAGAAGAAAATTTTTTGGTCGCTACCCGGATTCGAACCCGGGACTTTTGAATGAGAGGCCAACACCTTAACCCCTAGGCCACGAGAGCCCGGGGGGGCGGGGGGTGGGTATTTGGTCAGATAATGCAGGTTGACATTTTGCCTTGGTGCGGTGTACGGAGGGAGGATTTGTACCTTTTACTCGAAAAGTTTGGGTTGCCAAGGTCCGAAAGGACCCTGACCCCAAGAGGCTTACTAATTTGGATGTTATTTGTTTATTATACCCAGACAAGTTTGAAAACAATGTCTTGGGCTGGATTTTCAAGTGCTAAACTTTATTTCATTGCTCATTCAGTAAAATATTTGTATTATTATTCCTTCTGATTTCGAGGGATGACACATTGACCCCTACCTGAAGGCTCTCCGCTGAAGATGTACAGAAAGCTCCAATTAATGCCAAGCGGAGGCCTTGCTTCTGTATGGAGTCTTGCATCTTTAAAACACAAGGGCTTGCAGATCCGTAGACTTGACAGCTGTAGTCGACCTTGGATCTGACAAGAGAACAGTAAAGATGGAGGAGATGGTTATATTCAAGTCACTGTATCACTTCGCATGAGATACAATTTTTCGTAGTTTAAGCTTTTTTGGCATTTTACATGATTGTCTTTTATTTTAATGAATGTTGTTGGGGGGTTTTTTTTGCCAAAAGTTTATTTTCGAGCGAGGAAACGAGCTTGGTCGCGGTCGCCTGTGGTGAAAGAGTTCGGCTCTTTGACTCTCAAGTGAAATTAAAACTTGCGAGTTCGATTCCCTCATTGGTAGACGATCTAGCGAATATCCCAGACCCTCTGCTGGAAGTGTCAAAGCGACCCACCTCCTAAAAAATCTCAATCGTAAATTTTGTCTTCTGTGACGAACAAGTTTTTGACTGTTCTCCCACTAAATACTATAATTTAGACACTGTAGTTCAAGGAAGTCGGGGAAGGGGTACTTTTGGAAAGAAATCCTTTTCATGGGTGTATTGTAGGCCTATGCTTTAAAAATCTCCAAAGATATTCAGTTCAGAAAAAGATTTAGATTTGGTTCGCCCGTTGTAACTGTGTAATTGTCTAATTTCTAAATAGTCTGATCTAGCTATCGACTCGCCCCTTGACTAATTCGAACAAAAAGGGCAAGCATGACCATGCATGCCATCGTTCGACCCAGAAATGTATTCTCAGCACACAGACAAAGCAAGCCAATTATCATCGTCTGCACTGAACACCCACTCAATTAGGATGTGTGTAAGGTCTGAAGTCACTTTGATTGTCTTCTTTGTTTACACTTGTAGCGTTTCATCAAGGTGTTTTCCCAGTGGCTTTTATTGTCGTTGGTAAATACCGTATATACAGAATCCACACAATTACTTTAATAGCTTACAGGTATTTTTTCTTAAATTAAAGTGTAATAATCTTTTCTCACAACAGAATGAAAGCTTGACTTCGATAAGCTACCGTGTTGATTTTGTCAGACCTATAGCCTTTGTGAGTGAAAATTTGTACACGTTAGGAAA